ATAATATTTAGAAGCCTATCAACTACTTTAAAAAAGAAAAGTACCCGGGCTGGGAGTAGAATAAGCGCTTCCCTGGCAAGCACAAGGGCCTGAGTTCAATCCCCAGTTCTGTTTTTTTAAAAAAAGAAAGGTATCAATTTTTTTCCTATTCTTTTCCACTTTCTTTGAGACAGGATTTCGCTATGTAGCCATGCTGGCCTCACATTCACAGAAACCCTTCAACCTCCGCCTCCTGAGTGCACAAAATATCGTTTGTGCAACCACCACGCCAGGCACATCTATGAGTTTTTATTAATTAAGGTTATTTGTTATTCCGTTGGAATGGCTTATTTTCCGTGATTCTTAATTGTTCTTTACATGAAAGAGTATGTTAACCTCTGCTTTATGATGTCTGTCCTGAGCACTTCCCTCAGATGGTGGCGTGCATCCTGTTTTACTCTAGCGTACATTCCTGCACAGCTCAAGCCTGCTCATCTTTTATCCCTCCTTTCTGCTGGGAACCCTGCACCCCACCTGCCAGCAAGGTTTCTTTTCTTTGGGTGCTTTTACATTCACACTTTCTCCCATTAACGTTTAACCAACTAGACAGCTACTCTAAATACGTGTTTTCCATACAATTCAATATGCCATCCTCAACCCTGAACTATTACTGTTCCTCAGTGTATTAATGACCTGTCTACTCTGTGCTAGCACTGTGGTTTAGTTACTTTTAGCCTCAGAATATGTTCTGAGGCCACAGCCAAGTTTAAACAGTGAATAGATGCAGCCCTACTCACATCAAACGTGTTACCTTGTCGTAATACAAGCCCTCTTCTGGTGAAAATTCACGCTTGAACTCATCCTCTGCACCGCAGTGCGCCTGTGCACAGATTCGCATGAGCCTCCCAGTGTTACATAACAGAAGGGCAGTATTTGTAGCGTCATCAATGGACTCAAAGTTGTGAATTCCCTTTTCAAGACAAGAAAAGCTTTTTTCCCACAACTGTTGCTCTGCAGCTGACACAGATTTGTTCACTTCACAAAGAAAGAAAGAAAACAATTGTATAAGCGTACATCAGTGTGACCCCCTCAGGCCCTTGATGTGCCGATCTATGGAGGAGCAAAGCAGTGAAGGGTGGCAGGGGCAAGCCAGCCCACTGGGGTCCCCTGTGGCACTCTAGTGTTGTCCTGTCTGATACTGTACAGGAAGTATGCCCCCCCACGTCTATCATGTTGAAGCCCAAATAACCACTGGTTAGGATGTGAATATACTTGGGATCATACATTTAAATGAGGTCATAGGGTAGGGTCCTGATCTAAACACTGCTACAATCATAAAGAATGGAAGACCGGGAGGATTCACAGAGATAAAGGGCTGCATGAGGACACAGCAGAGGTGTCAGCAAACAAGGTAAGAAGACCTAGGGACTCTGAACTGCTGGGACCCAGATCTTGGACTTCCAGCCCTCAGGACCGTGAGACAACCAGTATTTGTAATTAAGCCATCAAGGGGCCAGGGAGATAGTTCAACAGCATACACACCTGCCTCAAAAGGGCAAGGTCCCACATGCAATCCCCTGCACCTGCCTCACAAGTGCAAAGTCCCATGTTTGATTCCCAGTACCACAAAATGAACACGCGGATAATCAATTCACACACACACACACACACACACACAAACTATCATTAAGCCATCAGTCTGAGGTATTTTATTATGGCAAGCCCAGCTCCCAATCACAACAATGAAGCACAGCTCTCCCCATTAACTGACAGCAAACAAGCCAAGTAAAGACATCCGAGTATGGCACTATTCTGTAAACATTCAGAAGCTGCAGGCCCATGCAGTTTTCAGAGGATGCAGCTTGTGCTTTATCTGATTCTGGACTGCCAATTCCCACATTCCCTCACTGGCTTCCCCTTCCAGGTGCACCTTAGATGGCATGAAGTCCTGGGCCAAGCACAGCTCAGCTCCCAACTCGGCAGACGCCCAGAGGTGTTCACTGAACCTGTGGCTCTATCTTAGCCCTTGTCCTTGTCACCCTGTGCCCAGCCTTTTCATGTGCATTTGCTCCTACAGCTCTGGCTTTTTGAGCGAATGGTTCTGAGATGTGCTAACCTTCACAGCTCCGAGTGCACCACAACCGAAACACTAAGTTCGACCTTTGCACATACACGTTCCGCAAGTGACACCGGCTTCACCACGCCGTGCCTCCTGAAGTTCACAGGACCTCCTGCTGATACTTCTCACACACACTGACCCTGTCTCCTGGCTTCCTCCGTACGCTGCCTGCTCACCCGAGAAAGCCCTCCTTTGCTTCTGCTCACTGAGGTTCTACAGTCACCCGCTGCTTCACTCAAGCACTCCTTCTTCCTAAATGTTTTCCTAAACTTTCCTATGTACTGTGCTGGAACCTATTTATAGCATTTCTCAGCTCTGTTCTTATGTCAGGCTTTCCAACTAGATGAGGGACCTGCTCCATAACCAACACAGAGCCCAGCACATGGCTGGTTAGCCAAGTTGTTTCTGAAATGACAAGGTGGCTTAAAAAATAAAAGCAGGGATGAAGACACTGATATGCTGAATCCTAAGAGAAAACAATTCCCCTAGTTATACTCTTGAGAATTTAGCAATAAAATTATTCTCTAATAAAGTACGTTTTAATAACTTACAATCGAGTGTCACAGCTCTTTACTTGACCTAGAAAAAAATCAGCACAACTTTCTACTAAAATAGGGAATAAAGAAGAATTCACAGATACTCACCTAATCTTTCACTCTGTAATGCAGCGGCCTCATTCATATAGAACACGCCAATTTCATTTCTAACATTACCCATTCTCTTCAAAACTCGTTCATAGTGTTCTGGATTTTGGCTTTTTAAGTCACTAAACTGCAAAATCTCATTTGCAGCCTCATAACATTTACAGCTAACTGAAAGTTGATTTTCTAGGTCCATAGATAAATCAGTTGCCCACGCAAATCCTTGTAAGACAGAAAAGAAAAAAATCAACATGAGTCACATGAACTCTTTATCCTACTGGTGCTGCAACCCAGGCAACAGAGCTATATCCCAGGGTCTTTTTTTTTTTTTTTTTTTTCTCCATACTAGAAACTGAACTCATGACCTTGTATCATCACTGTGCCACTGAGCAATGCCCTGGCCTCATTTTGATTCTGACATAGGGCTTGCCTTGAACTCACTATATAGCCTAGGCTGCCCTAAAACCTGAAATTCTCCTGCTTATCCTCCCTTCGACCTGGGATTCCAGGTGGATATCACTGCATCTGCTTAGGACCATTTTACTAGAAAAACTATATTTTCTTGTACCTTTTTTTTTTTTTTTTTGGTACAGGGAATTTCTATGCAGCTTAGACTTGTGGCCAGCACAGCATGTGGTACTGGGGATCGAACCCAGGTCCTTGCACTTGCCAGGCAGGTGCTTAGACTGCTAGGTTATCTTCCCAGCTCTTGCAATATTGATTAAAATACTTTTTGCAAATAAATTCCAAGCATTTCTCATTAGCCAGATTTTCCAAGTTTTAGTTGTATTCTAAACTATACTGATATAATGGTAAGTAGCTTTTATTTTAAATTACAGTAACTGAATAAAGCATCAAGGTTTTTTTTTTTAAATGTATTTAGTACAGGGTCTCACTACACAGATCGGACTCTTAGTGATCCCCTGCTTTCAGCATCCCAAGCACTGGGATTACATGCGTGCCCCACCATGCCCAGTCTCAATCGCTGTCTCAGCGCATCCTGGGGTTGGGGCTGGCACAGCACACAGTCCCAAGTCTAATCCTTGAAAAAGGTACTAGATAAGTCCATAGAGACTTACTGATGCCATCTAGTGGGAATGGAGTAAACTCAGGCACAGGATTCAGTATTCAAGGGGAACAAAGGGATACTCCCTGTTACTAACACTCAAATACATAAGAAAGTATCAACCTTAAAAATATTTTAAATGAAATCACTATGATAGTGATAAAAACACTCTGAAGGCTTTCTGATGTGTCTATTAAATGGAAATGATTACTTGAGGGAAGAGGGAGAAGGAAAGAAGTGGCAACATATTAGCCACTGAGGCATCTGTGCTCTCCTCCCCTCCTGTACTCATCTGGGTGGAAACTGGCAAAACTATTTGAGAGGTGCATATCAAGGGCCATCAATATCTTCAAACACAGTAAGATAAGTTTTTAGTATATTTAAGAAGGGTCTGCAGAAGACTAGACCTCACTGGCTACTGTAAGTGCAAGGTACTGACTATACTAGGCTGAGGGTACCTGAGCTATACATTTTTGTATATCTATCTATCTATATCTATCTATCTATCTATTGTATTTTAGGGAAGGGTCTACGGGGTGTTGAGGGTCTCACTACTAGATCGGACTTGTAGCAATCAGTCTGTTTAAAGCCTTGCAAGAGTTGGGATTACAAACGTGTAACACTACGCCCAAACACAACTGCTATCTCAGCATGCCCGAGGGGCAGGGCCGGCAAGGCAGGCCTGGGGATTGAACTCTGGTTCCTGCACCTGCTTGAAGCTGCTTTAATCTGCTGAGCTACTTGGCTGGCGCTTCAGCCAAGTAGCTGAATTCTGAAGACTGAACAATGTGATAGAAGACAGCTGGCTACAGACCAGCTTTTAAAACTCGATGAACCCTTTATCTTAGCTCCATGGACTCAGCCAAAAGGTAAGTAACGCAGTGACAATTATTATTCTTTTTGAAAAGAAAATGGCTTGGTAAGTTAACTTGAAGCAATGTCTAGAAATACTCATAAGCAGCATTTGAAGGCGAAACAACTACCTTCAGATCTTATTTTATACTTAGCTTATATTAGTAATTATAAACTTAATTCATTTTTTGTGTGTATCATACTGGGACCTTATGCAGACCAGGCAAGTGTTCTGCCACTTAGTCACACCCCAAAGACATTGTTGATTTCAAAATGAACAAATGAAGTAAAACAAAGCAAATGAAGCAGGTATGATGGTGCATGCCTGTAGTCCCAGCGCTTGGGAGCCTGAGGCAGGAGGACTGCCAAGGCTTCAAGGCCACCTTGAATTATAGAGCAAGACAAGAAACAACAAATACTCAAAGACTAATATTTATGCCACTTCTCTGGCAGAAATAATAAATAAAAAAATAAGAAATAATAAGCACGAGCTGGCATACCCTGACAATTGGACTCTCTGTGAAGACTGTGTAGTATCTCCTGATCTTCTTTTGTTTGGTAGTTAAACTCTTCAAGGTGTGCTGCTCTGTTATTTGCATTCTGGGCCAGCATCAGTTGGATATCACCGCAGAGTGTCAAATATTGAGAAAGAAACAGCAGCACTTCAGAAAGCATATTGGTGCAGAGGCAGCAGTAAGTATCTTCATGGAAAATGAGGAAAAGGAGAAAAAAAAAAAACCACAAGAGCATTGCAAATCAATGATCACAGTAAATAAGAAGTCTGAAACTAGTTCAAAGCGCTGGATCATCACAAGAGTTTGTGATCGGTACCATAATGCATTCTTGTATTTAAAAATGAAGCTATTAAACCAGTGTGGGCAGAAGGTAAAATACTGAGTAATGAACACAGCATTGGAAGCTTTTTTAAAAACTCACATGTTATGACAGACAGGAATAGAAGTTGCCTGTGACAGAGATGCCTCTTGTCCTGCCCCAAGCTACGGGACACAGTCACTTGCAGGGGCTTACCATGGCTCTGCAGAGCCAGCTTAATGTATCGCAGCGCCCGTCCATACTTCTGAAGACTCATGGCAGCATCAGACAGCACATAATAGGCCTTCGCTGACTTAAGAATCAGCTGAAGTTTCATCTTATGTTGCCAAGACCCAGGGATCATGCCTGACTGACTGGAATAATTACGCTTCTGAAGGGAGCCCACTGTGATACAGAACAGAAAAAAGAAAGGGTTTTGTTAGAATGTTATCAGGAAACAAAAAAAAAGGATGTATTGCCTGTTTCTTAATCGGAGTGGACAGGGTCAGACACTACTGCCACGACAAGACTGCTGGATACGATGCATTCCTGCCTAAGCACAACACAGTCAAGTGCCAATGTCCAACAAGACCCTTGCTACAGAGCTCCAAGGCCTTCTACTTTCCTAGAGTGGCATCGTTATCACTCTTACAGGGTGACTGCCACAGCTGAGCTCAGGACCATGACAACTGCCTCCTTTCCCCAGTCTGAGCCAACCTGCCACAAGGCACACCTTCCCAAAGCCCAGCTTTCGCCTCACAGCCATCTCCAACCTCAGCACAGCTCACTCCTCTCTCAGCCTCAGCACACAGCTCGCTGCCTACGTAAGGCACCTTCAGGCTTCCTGCTAGTGCACTGCTGCCCAGCAGTCCTGGAAGGTTACTTCCTCTGCCTGCACGGATGCGCTTTTCTCTGTCTCCCACTGAAGGTTACCATTTCTTCTATACCAACACATGACTTCAAGTGCAGCTCTTTTTCCCTCCTTTGTTCCATAAATGGTCGCTTCTGTGCCACACATTGCAACAGGAACCAACACAGTGACATGAACTTATGAGGTCATTACCTTGATAAACCACACCAAACTATACCAAGTGTAATTACAGAGATAACAGCACAAAGCCATGGAAATAAGAACAGAAACATGCCCCGCTGCGGCTGCCTTAAGGTTTCCCATTTTGGGTACACACGTAAGACTTGCAAAGTACTAAAATGCAGCAGGTCAATGTGATGGCTTAATCTGTGCAGGGATTTCTTTGTCTCTGCTCTTAGGAGCACTGTGTTTGGAGCACTGTAAGAAAACCAAACACAAATGAGACAAATGAGACAAACTCTGTGTGTATCCTTAGCATCATTTAGTAGAGGTGGCTAGCCTCAAGGCAAGCAGCAAAGTGCTCACAGAACACTGTAATGAAATCAAGTCATTCTGCCTGTGGATGGGTGAGTATGGAGATTCTGAGCCTGAGCAGGATTTTCAAGAGGGGAGATGGAGGAGGAAGAGACAGAAAACAAATTCTAGAGGGAAAAAAAACAGCAAAAGTCGTAGAGTGAGCCTGTGGGTACACTGCGAGCAGGCTAACCTGGCACACAGGAATACATACACACTGGACAAAGAAATCGTCCCTTCTGTATTCATGGTTTAGTTTTGGGGTTTTTTTGTTTGGTTGTTTTTTTTTTTTGGCGGAACCGGGGATTGAACTCAGGCCACTGTACTTGCCAGGTAAGCGCTTATTCTACTGAGCTGTCTCCCCGAACCCTCTATTCATGGGAAGAAAGAAGATCCAGGAAGCACCTGGCATTAGCCATTTTGCACAAATTGCCTTTCCAAATGTTTTGTAAAGAATTGAAACTGATTAGGGCCAAGAAATAAGGTTTGGGGAAAATATGATTTAGATAAAAAATAAAAAAGGCAAGCAGCAAGATAGCTCATCAGACCAGGCACCTGCTTAGGGAAGTGCAGGGTTTGGGCTGGGTTTGGTTTGCACTAGCCCCACACCCCAGAAGTGCTGCGTAGGCTACCAAATCCAGGCAATGGAACACATGGCTGTAATCCCAGCACTGGGAGGCTGAAAACAGGAGGATCACTATGAGTCTGAGCTGCAAAATGAGACCCTATACCAAATACATAGAAATCAAAAAATAATGATAAATGAATAAAATAAAAAGAAACAAATTTATGTCAAAGTCCACGTTTTGCTTGAAGTAACACTCTTGAGGAACATGCTAGGTACATAAAAATTTATTATATTCAACCTATTCAACAATAAGGCACCCGCTAACCTTTTTATGGTGTATATTATGTACAAAGTTCTAAGCCCTTCATCTATATTAACCTTCCAATCCATAACAACCCTTGAAAGTAGGCACTCTTAAGGGCCGAGGAGATGGCTCAGTAGAATAAGCACATCCCTGGCAAAAAAAAAAAAAAAAGGAAAGAAAGAAAGAACGAACTCTTACTATCTCCAGCATGAGAAAAAGAAAAGTGGGAAAGCCTGCTCTTGGTCAGCCAGGATCAAAGCTGGGCACCCTGCTTCCCAGGCCTGAGCTCCCCAACACCCCACCTTCTACCAGCACAGCAGTTCCCTAGGAGTGCTCAACCAGGCTACACTACCAGCTCATTAGAGGGGGAAGTGCAAGCATGCAGGTTCCTTATGCTCTCACAAGAAATACCTAGGAAACATGAGACCATGCTTGCTTGGTTTTAGATTTCAATGGAATTTTTAAGTATGTTTCTCTACTTCTAGATCACATGAGATCGTTCTCCTTTCTTTTAATGAATGCCTTAATTGACATGTCTGCTGTTGACAAAAGATCAGTATATTATTGTACTGAGGGCCTTATTTGCACATCAATTCAACTTACTTTTGTCCAAAAACAAGGCCATCTGCTTCTCTAGCCCCTCAGGACCGACTCTTGTGGATTCATCTTCGTATTTTAAGGGGATTGGGGTGCTGGGATCAGCTGCAGGAAGGTCACTTTCCTTTTTGATGCTGCTATCTACAGATTTTAAACCCTTTAAAAAAGAAAAAAAATACAAATTACTAATAGTCAAATGAAAACTAAACACAAGGCATAATTTCTATCTTAGAAACAAACTGCAAACCTGTGTCTGATCTAAAGATTTGGGAGACAATGATTTTGTTCACTCTTTGAGCTTAAGAAAAAAATCTCGGGGCTGGTGAGATGGCTCAGTGGTCTAAAACACCTACTTAGAACAAGTTTAGCAAAGCACAGGGACCATGGTTCAATCCCCCAGCACCACATGCCAGCCAGCCCCGCCCCCTGGTGGGCTGAGCTGGCCACACACACACACACACACACACACACACACACACACAAAATTAAAAAAGAAAGAAAAAAAATCTCAGCTGAATACTATTCAAAATAACTTTTAGATGCCAAAACATAAATGCTATGTGAATATCAAGTATAAACTTGATTGCAAAAGCAAAAAGGACACTTAGACCTACCTCTAGAACATAGCTGAGCACCAGTCTACAGCGTTCTTCCGTGTCATGGCAAACTGGAAATGCACAACTGGGCTTCAGAAACAAATATTGAAAATTACTAACATAGTACTGACACACACATTCAATGGCTCCCATTTTCTGGCGATTTGGACACTCTACAAACCAATTCAGAAGTGTGCTTTGGAACTCAGCTTGCTGTGGTATCTGATGGGAAGCTTACTGGACTATTTCGGTTTGCAGATTAAACAGTAAGCATCAACAACAAAAATTCTATTTAACAACAAAGACCTTCCAGCTGATATGCTGCTTTAACTGTTCAAAATTCTAAAAGGAACTCTTTTATGACAAAAAAGCAAGACGGCAATGCTTTAGATAAATGCATACCAAACCTAACAGGTCAGCTCAATTCCTAATTAGCACTGATAACTTGGTAGCACAAGTTAACACTATCATCAATTTAGCAAACGTTAACACGTATTACCCATCACCCAAAGCCTCACTGTATAATTTATCTGACTAATTAGGGACAGAAAAACAGTTAACAACCCACCATCCGCTAAGTAATAACGTGTGTAAGGGCCTCTGGGAAGCATTTCATTTGGCTGATTCCTAGGAGGCTGCAGTTACTGGGTTCCTTTCACAGAGAAGCTCACACAGATGGCAGAAGAATTTACCCAAGAACACAATGAGTAGTGGAGAAGCGGGGACTCAGGAGCCCACGCCGCCTGCCCGTTCTTCAAGTCACCAAACACAGATGACATAAAGCCAACCAAGACATGTTCTCATGAATGCTACCACCACTTTGCGTGCTCCCAGACACTGGTAAAAAGTGCTGCCTCTATCAAAAGAAAAGTGATACTAACATACTGTGACATCTTCAATTATCATCTAACTGCCCTGTAAGTCCAGGGTCCCATGTTCCAAATACATGTAACTCTGGAAATCCATAACATACTCTAAATAGTTTTTCCTCCAGTGTGAGGCTCAAGCTAAAAGGGAACTAAAATTGACATGAACAGCCCTTTAGCCAAATGTTTCCTGAATACCTAGTCTGTGTCTAGACAGGGAGGCACAGAGCTGGCCACCTACAGGAAGCTTATATTCTAGTGATGGGAGACAAAAGAAAGTGCTTCAGGTACAGATAGGCTCCATGAAGAACACAGAAACAGCCTGCTCTTAAGGACCACCTCCTCAAGGGGACATTTCCGTCAAGATGTAGGGGCTGGGAAAAGACAGCCAGGAACAAGTCCGGGGAAGTGAACGGTCCAAACAGAGATGGCAGCAGGGAGCACAAAGGGCCTCAAGGAATCTGTAGGCTTTGAAAGACAAAGTCACTGTGGCTATGGGCCATGGGAAAGGACAAAGGAAAGGAAGAGGTGAGCAGGAAGACAAACAGTGTTTCAGTTAGAGATGCATCCTCACATGTTTACATCCCTTGGCTGAATACAAAGTCTCCATGTGAAAGTGAACCTCAGAACTCCAACTAAGAGGTTATCTGCAAGTATATTTCAGTTCAGGGACTAGCCAGAACTCTTTTAAGACTGACCTGGATCTGAGTATAGGAAGGCAGTAGGTGAGGAAGTATCTGGGGCCACAGCCTGATGGTGGGAGCAGGCAAAGCAACTGTGCCCTGAGAAACCTAAAGCGTGTGAGTAGCTAGGATCCGTCCGGGCGGATACTTGTGCAGGGTCACAGAAGAAGTATAGTGGTCCTATGTAGCATGAGAATAATGCACCTCGTGGGGAGATAGCTCAGTAGAATAAGCGTCTGCCTGACAAGCACCAAGTCCTGAGTTCTAGCCCCAGAACCGCAGGAAGAAAAAAAAAAAAAAAAAAAAGAACAATGCACCAGATCACCACCTAAATGGTAAACTGCTTTTCTTCCTCTCACCTATGTTTAAAACACAACCAATGCACAATTTCCCAGACACTCAAAAACCATACAGAGGTGTATGGACGAGGAGATACGGCTATACACTGGTGAGCAGGGACACAAATTTCCTACAGAAAAAATGAATGTGTGGCTATCTGGTTTACATGCTTGTCTCCCAGACTCTGGCATGTGGGTCAGTTGCCCCAGGGCCATTCTACTCCACTTAGGGGTTCTAAAAGTAAGCTGAAGAATTTATAAACCTAGTAATTATTACTACTGCAGCTTAAAAGAATGTACTCAAGTATCCATGTTTTCTGAGGCTAGTTGTATTCAATGAACAACAGTTCTTATTTCCCCCGATAAAACTAGAAGATAAACTTTAACATGCTTACTCTGATCTGATGAATGGATTTGTATTTTTCTGGTACTGACAATTCTCCAACGGACTTAATTATAGCTACTGCTTTGTTATCATCTGAGGGATCAGAGCTGGTACTGTAGGATCCATTTTCATCACTGTCTGGCATTTCCTCTTCCTCTTCGCTGTAACTTTCATCAGAATTTTCATTTAAAGGAGATTCTGAACTTTCTTCTTTTTTAGGCTCATCCAATTGAAAAAGTTCTGACAGCATGAAATTGGCTGAAGCAATAATCTTAAGAGAGAAATACCGATAAGTGACTGCTATCAACATTGTCTCATCTAAAGGATAATCAGGGGCCGGTTAGTTAGTTCAGGTGAATAAGTGGTTGCTGGCAGGCATAAGGTCCTGAGTTTGAGCCCTCCTACCACCAAAAAAAAAGGGGGGGGGGAATCAATTTTACTACAATACTAACAAGTTTTCAGAAGGGTTCTGCGCATAGGCTGTGTTCAGTAGACTATAATACCATACACAACTGTTCCTGTGTTTCAGAGTTTAAAATTCCCAGAATGTGTCCTGTCAGTTCCTCACAGGGCTTATGATTCTCCTGCCTCAGCCTAATTCTCAGAGTGCTGTGGTTACAGGTTTGTGCCACCACACCCAGCCTGATTGTTCTTAAAATTTGTATGTATATAATGATTTAAGCAATTTATGATTTATATGATTTACAATACATATGCATACACTCTATCATCTATTCTTAACCATCAATATTCAATAGTCTTAATACCATTTTCTGACTTACACATAAACTATGCAATTAGCATTAAACACTACTACCGCACTCAGCAATTATTTTGCCATTTTTCTAAAAAAAAAATCTGATGATGGCCTCGAGGATAATTTTTATCTCTAAATTGGACGTGGCTGTGATTAATAGTACAGAAAAACTAAAGAAAACACACATATCCTACATACAGTATCTCGTGATTTAAGCAAGATATAATTAGCTTTATACCAACTTATGCATTCTTCAAATTACGACAGGGTTGTGTAACACTGTGGAGTGTGTGCTGAGAGAATAGTTTACCACTCCAGCTGATTGTAGAATATGAACTTTATTTACATGAACAAGTGAAAAGATAGCCATTTATACAGAGGCCTTTTAAAAGATACAAGACTGTCACCTTTTAATAGTGGCAAAAGAAACCGTAATATATTAGAATTATATGAGTTAAGTGTACAAAACAGTGCTACCCAAGAGAAGCATAATGCAAGCCACATACAAAATTTTCAATCTGCTAGTAGTGGTTGCACAAAAAGTGAAATCTGGTAAAATTACCAATAATATTATATTCAATTTGGAATCTACAGAACAGTCAACATTTGTGTACACATACACTCTTCAAAATTCAGTGTGTATGTCACACTGTCAGCACATTCAGTTCAGATGAAGTCCATTGTAAATGCTCAGTAGCCACATATAGTAGTGGCTATCACACTGGACAGGGCAGGGGTGGAATTGAATTAGGGAGCTTTATTTTTTTTATTTATTTTTTTTTTGTGGAATCAGGGATTGAACTCAGGCCCTTGCGCTTGCCAGGGAAGCGCTTATTCCACTGAGCCATCTCCCCGGCCTAGGGAGCTTTATTACTTAGACAATTTTCTATCAGAACGCTAGAGTCTTACCTGTGGATGCCTGCTTTTGTCCAGCAACTTAACACAATTAAGAAGCAATGTTCTAATTGTCCCATAGTGTTTCTTATTTTGATTCTTCTTCATCATCATGTTACAAGCAACCCTGAAAGAAATGTTTACGTCAGCTTTAATCCTCATCCATCATTTTTTGCAAGACTAAAGTCTAGGCACACATATATTTTTCCAACAGAAAGAGAAATATAAGAAGCAAGTAAACATATGTATTTTTTTTTAGTAATTAAATATTGTATTTTAACCAACCCACCCCAAAAAGCTTATCCTTGGTTTACAATCAAATAAGATTAACATTTGGTATAATGTATTGATGTCTGTATGTCGAAGTCTAAATGGATGGAAACCTTAAAAGGTATTTAACATTCTTGGCATGCTGTGGCTGTGCACTTAAAATCTTACATAAGACCATTCACCTTAAATTCTTAAAGCACTCACTTATATAAGAGAATGGCCACTGGCATTGTGAATGGGTTCTGGTACTTGTCTTCAGTTTCTTCACACAGAGTAGTAAGATCATAGAGCTTCACTATATCACTGCCACTTGCTGGTAAAGAAAAATAAACACATCTTATTTTATTTTATTTATTTATTTATTTATTTTGGTGGAATCGGGGATTGAACTCAGGCCCTTGCGCTTGCCAGGGAAGCACTTATTCTACTGAGCCATCTCCCCGACCCCACATCTTATTTTATAGTAGTTACACAAATCAGTTATTGTACAGTCAGGAATTAACTTACCTTTAAAAAGCCAATATGTATGTCCTTCTTTGGTACAATTAGATTTCAGAAATGACAAAATATTCTGTGCAATATCTTTTATGACTTTAGTAGAAAAGTTAGAGTTTTCCAAATTGGGTATCTCTTCTGTCTTTATCATTTCATATTTCTGTAAAACACATATAGAACACAGTTTTAAGAGGAAACCTGAAACAATCTTTCTAATTAAAAAGCAGCCAGATACAGGATATAAATCCTACAAAATAGAAAGTTATGCAGCACAGGAGTGTTGCTTTTTTTTTTTTTCCTCCTGTATTTTAGAGTGTTCAGAGTCTCAGTACTACACTGGACTTGTAGTGATCCTCCTGTTTACAGCCTCCCAAGGGCTAGGATTACATGCATGCACCACCACACCCAGTCTCAATCACTCTCTCAGCGCACCCCAGGGTGGGACTGGCACAGCAGGCCCGGGAATTGAACCCCTGGCCCCTGTGCCTGCTTGTTGAGCTATTGCCAGCCAAGGAGAGTTTATTTATTTATTTTTATTTATTTATTTATTTATTTATTTATTTATTTAATTTTTTGGCCAAGGAGAGTTTAAAAGGAGGTTTAAATCTTCCTGCTCCCACATCAAAGGGAGCTGACCCACCCCACCTGCAATGGTGGCTCCCTACCAGTCACTCCCAAGAGTCAATCCTAGACACACAGCCTCGGGTCAAGGCATGATCACATTTCTGCTGCACCACAGCACAGAAGGTACTCAACAACACTTCCTTTTCCATCTGATTGGATGGATTTTGACTGGCAAGATGGCAAATGAAGGCAGAACTTTAAAAACCATGAACTTCTGGCCTACTCTTTCCCCTAATACTAGAGTCAGTGGCTTGAGAGAAGATTATCACTTGGGATGTTTTCCCAGTAGACATTTTCCTTCATTAAGCTGTGGACTCTTTCTTTGCAGGGATGGAGCACAGCGGGTGGAAGTGGCAATGGCAACAAGAGTAAAGACTGCACAGCTGGCATTATTGCTATTTTTAAAATGCATCGATATTTTTTCCAGCTTGTCTTCTGTGCAGACCTTCCTCAATGCCTCTTACCACATTTTCTGAAGTGCTGTATGACCTGAAACTCCAAAATCAATCAGAACATAACACCAAACAGTTGTCCAAGGTCGGTTTTTATCCTTCTTAGTTCATCTCCAGTTTTCACTTTTGTTATTCACTCCCTTAAAACACTTCTTTCCCACTTTTTACACTGCATTGTTCTGGTTCTCATCTCTCAATGACCCATCCTCCTACCCTTGTAGGGAAAGGCTCTGATGTGTGATTGTAATAAATCCTTGGTGATGAAATCTATTAGTCCCTAGGAAGATGGCGCTTTAATTTTTTCTCTAGACTTTCTTTTCTAATTGCTGCACCATCACAATGCTCACTGGACATTTTTATCATGTCCTCAACCTGAGTATGTCATGGAAACATATAACTTCCTGCCTAAATCAATTAAGTGGCCCTGTCTCAGCAAGTGATATGGCTGTTACTCTGGTCCCAAAACCCTGGGATTCCATCAGGTCTTCCTCCCTTGCACCTCACAAACACTGGACTTGCTTCTCTCCTCTTTCCTGGCTCCCCCACCAGCCTCTCCCTATATGGTGCCACTTAAACGGTGATGATGTCACAGTACGTATACAAAGAGATATGAGGGTCAGCTAAATAGCTGAGCGGATTACAGTGCCTGCTTAGGCATAAGCAGGGCCCAGGAATTCCATCCCTGGGCCTGACTTTCCAGCCCCGCCCCCTGGGCAGGCTGAGATGGGGATTGAGACTGGGCGTGATGGCACATGCCTGTAATCCCAGCACTTAGGAGGCTGTAAACAGGAGGATCACTATGAGTCAGATCTATTCAGTGAGATCATGCAGACCTTGTCCTAAATGCAAAAAAACAAAACAAACAGAGACAGGGATCATCCTGATCCTGGCATACTATCAGCCTAAGAAACAAAGAAACTATCTCTCTAGTACATGTGTGTACCTAGTATATACAGATATCTCTCTTTGTACATACATATAACATATACGTGCACTATATATATAAATAAAAGTATATATCTTTTGGTTCTTTTTAAGAAGAGTACTTTTTAAGAAGCCACAAGTGAAGAAAAAAAACCAAAAAAGCCACAAGTGATTGTGAATAACAGCTTAGGTTGATAATCAATGAATGGGTTAGCATCAAATCCAGAAAATTTACTCAAACACTGGCACCAGCACCTACTAGCCACAGATTCTGGGCAACTCACTAGGCTTCCTGACCCTCAGTTTCCTTATCCATCATATCAAATGAGAATAATACTAGATGTGGTTACTAAGAAGATCAATAAGGTAACCCACATGAAGCACTTGGTAGTGTCTGGAACCAAATGCGCACACAACGAATGCCAGGCATTGCTACCACTGTCCAATCTTCCTATCTCCTGTAGTACGAGTACTTGTAAGTAACTTACACTATTCATAAAGGCACTGCAACATAGGACCAGTCTTCATTTCTTCTAGGCCTCCCCACCTATTACCAAGCTACTTCCAAATTAATGCTGTAATACAATGAATTTCCTTCCAGAAGTAAAGTGTTCATGGTTTCCACCTAAAGGAGGAAGTACAACCTCTTTTTGAGACTGGGTCTCACTATTAAGTCTGGCTGGCCTTGAACTTGCTATGCAGCCAGACTGGCTTCAAGCTGTAATCCCTGCCAACGAATGGGACTATACGTTTGCACCTATGGTACCCAGACAGGTACAAACTGTTTAGCTGGGCATTCAAGGTTCTCCAGTATCTGGACATGACTTTTTGTAACTATATCTGAATCTGTTGCTTAATCTTGTGTTCACTAACTGAATTTATTTTTTATGCTTTCCTTTGTGGAGATGTGTCTTTTAAAATGCACCTTAGATTTTCAGATACTAGCTATCACTCAAGTATGGGAATAACCAACTTCTTCCATGAAGTCTTCTGTCCTGGCCAACACAGAGTGATCTCAACCTTCCTGTATTCAGACCTGTGTAAGTACAACACGCGTAATACTTCCTGTCTCCTCAAGTTTTCGCTGCACATTATTACTTCGCACTTGTACATCTGAGTAAGTAACCAGATATATTCTGCTTCCCTCTAATAACGTCATGGGAATGAAATGTTCCTAAACAGAACATGCTCCGAGAGCTCTGTTATCATTGTTGAATTCTCACAGTGGTCTTCACAGGAAAAAAAAAATCCTGCAAATCCACAGTACTTGTAAATGAAAATACACATTCACTGTACAGACAGTTTCAATTAAACATTATACGTACTTGGTATTAACACTAGAATTATACAGTTACAAATGTATGTCTTAGTATACAGCAGAACCTTAGTTCAAGAACACTTCTGCATGCAAACAATTTGGTTCACAACAGAAGTGTGGCAAGATTTTGTTCTCCTTTACAAAATGCATCTTGTGACAAACACAATCTTGGCCATCTTTTCAACATAACAAACCTGGCCATCTTTTCTAAAATTGTAAAACAAATTAAATTTGTGACCTAAGGTATCACTGTATTTATAAGCTAACTTCCCATGAATTATCCATAAAATTATACTCCTATAACTTCTAGAATTTTGCTATAACCAAGTTAAGTGTAAAAACACTCCTATTTTAGTTTTTTCATATCTTTCTTATGAAAAATACACTTTAGCACTCAAGGGCTTTAAAATCTTTCATGACAAACTCTTTAACAATTAGCTTTCAAGATCTTATTAGCAAAGTCACACTGTGTCTTACCTGTACAATTCCATTTACATGAAAACACATCACGAGCTCAGGTACATTGCATATCAAGTTGTCCAACCAATAGTCAATTCCAGTTAGCACATTGATTGGCTTGTTGTTATCCCTAAGAATGCAAATTCCTAGTGTTATTTGGTTTAGTTTTCAATGGCAAGCAGAAACAATCAGTGACACCAAGCACTTGGAGGCAAAGTTTTGTACCATGATGAACTCTACTCAGGATCATTCCCAGAATATCAGACCCTGATCTCTCATGGTCTAGGCTTATATGGGACAAGCAAGCAGGAAGTACAGAGGCAGAATGGCTTTCAAATGGAGACGGGGTTCTACAATGTGTATCACAGTGCCCAGCAGTTTCTAAGAGACAGGAGCACTGAAACTGGAACAGGAACTATGACCTGGGCAACTAAGAAGCAAGGGTACCGAGCATAATGGGGAGTGACAGGTTCTGCTACAAATTAAGATGTTTAAAATTGAATCATCTGATGATTATTTTCCTATTTAAGTACTTTTGCTCTATTCTCCCTTGATGGAAATGCCATATATGCTTTCTTGACTGAGGACATAAATATGTAGTGCAACATTTCTGTCATACCCAACATCTTCTCTAAAGCTTGGTCTCACTAGCATTGTAAAGTTTTCAGTAAGAGTAGAAGGAAATATATAACCTTAAGTCTCCTGCATGCTCCTCACACAACCTGAGAAAACACGGAGCACTGCACCTAATGTCACACTGAACTCACACTGGGTTAGGGAAACAAATACACATGCATTATTAAGAAGAATGCTCACAACCAGTTAACAGGAAGCTGTCAAACCACCTCTTAAACTAATTAAATATATTTTCTTGTAACCTCATAAGCTATAGGTTCAAACCCAAAAGGAGGCAAGTACAACAGATTTCAGAGGTCTGTCCAGTTAGGTCTGGAATGAGCAGTTAGCTACGGGGGTGTCAGCATTTGCTGACAGCAGGCAGGTCCTGCCTTACTGTGCTCATTGCCATGGCAAAGGAAGTGGAGAAGTGAAAACAATCCAGAAAAAGAAGAGGATGCCCAAAAAGATAGGGAGCAACAGATGGCACACTAATGCTGAAGTATTTGAACATTAACATGAGGGAGACCACAGCACAAGATGTTGGCTCACCTGAGACGTAAGCTGACTGCTGGGTATCTGCCTCCACCAAAAATAGGCATGTTTGATCCAACCAACATATGGATATCTTCAAATGTCCACAGAATATTCCGAACAAAATCATTTTTAAGACCCTTTAATTTAAAAGGAGAAAAAATATAACTAAAAGCAGAACTACAATTTGCCCCAACAGAAAGATCAGAAAAAGAGAGAGACAAGGTAAAGTCAGAGTGTTAATTGGCAGAATCAAGTGGATTTTGTCCCTAAAAACTCCAGTTGAGACTAGGATTTAAGTGATGACTGGCGACTAAGTATTTTAACTTGACCATATTGAAAGCATACCTGACCGTTCTCCCCATCATTGAACAAAGTACTCAGGTTTTGTTCTTTGGGTGCTGAGGCCACATGCCCCACTATGTATGAGGGCTCAAGAGGCTCATGTTCCTGTGAAAAGTGCAAGGATAACGGTGATTCTGCTGCCAACACTGCTTAAAACTGATCTGCTTTAAAACAGCAACACCTAAGCATCAAAGCCCACACCTGGATCTACCTTTGTGAATCAAGCTTGTGCTGTTGAAATCACAGCATTCATCACTTACTGCTTGCATTAGTGCCCAATTATCACAGCCTCATGAAGGTAATCATATTTAGATCTTACTCAAATGGGACAGAGGAAGGAGCTTACAAAATCCCTAAGTCTCATTTTCTCATCCACTGGTACATGTCACCACCATTGCTCTGTAAGCCCACCCCATGTCTTCTAAACTGAAAAATTCCTCAGCAACTCAGCCAAAGTTTGAAGCATCGTTCTAACAGTGGTCTTCAGTTTAGTGTGTCCAAACGCGATTTCTACAGCAGCTAAGATCCCTGAAAGCTAGGGAAACCTCTGCAGTTATGATGGGAAAAATGCGGCTTACTACTGTCCTTGCTTTGTAGAGTAACCATGTCTACTGTTGCCCCCTTCCTTCAAAAAAACAAAAACTAACATCTTCTCAGGGTCTTTTTTTTTTTTTTTTTAATTTTTTTTATTTATGTGTGTGTGTGTGTGTGTGTGTGTGTGTGGCCAGCTCAGCCCCCAGGGGGCGGGCTGGCTGGCATGTGGTGCTGGGGGATTGAACCGTGATCCCTGTGCTTTGTTCTAAGTAGGTGCTTTAGACCACTGAGCCATCTCACCAGCCCCCTCTCAGGGTCTTATAAGAAAAAAATCTACTTCATTTTTATACAACCTAGGGTTTCCTGAACTTAGCTTCAGAACACTTTTTGGTTTTAATATATTCGGTAGAGTTAATTTCGGGAAAAGACTTCGCTGTGGTAAACTCAGTCTAAAATGCAATTTGCCATCCATACATACTACCTGCAGCCTTTAATGCCAATTTTCTGCTTGATCCCAAGATCAACATGTGTGCATGCTGCTTATTCTATACAATCTTGTCTCTCCTCTTCTGCGCCTCTGCCAGCAGGCTTGGGGTCTACCTACAAATGCACATAATTTCAAGCCAGGATATCTTCAACATATCTACTGTGTCTTGCTTTCTCCATCAGTAGCCCTAACAGAACTTCAAACTTTATTTTGTTGTCTGTACTTGAAGACAAATGATCAACTTAAGGGCCACTTCCCAAAATTACTTGCCAAAAAACTCCTTTGGGAGGAGTGCAGGCTGTGGGTTACAATGTTCTCACAGATCATTTGGCTCCAAGGTCCCACAGACACTTGTGTGACCTCTACTACTGCTTACAAAGGGCTCAACCTGGCAGTTTTAGTCTGGGGAACAAAAATCGATGAGGTCATAGCCTGCAAATGTAAATAAATTTTTTAATGTGGAAATTGTAGCAGTACAAGACATTTTGTAAAATACTACTTTTATCCAACTACCTGTGTATGGGCTTGCCACTGCCAAGATGCTGACTGCTTCCAGGGCCTTCCTTAGTGTGTATGGAGTAAATGGACAGAGTCAATTACTGCAGCGGGAACAGGACTGAGGTCAGAAAGAGCTGCATTTAAACCCTATCTTGGACTGCACAAGTTGCTTGACCACAGAAAAACATCTGCTTTTCATGCTTCACTTCAACACTTATTGCATGTGGAGCTCCAGGGAGGGAAACAAATTCATACAAATGTATATCAAAGTGCTGAGCACAAGAGGCATTAAATAAATGCCATTCTGTTTCCTGCACACGTGTGTTTTACTGATTCTCTAGTGTCTAAGATCTTTCACAGTGATTCTAAGCAGGGAAAGAAGACAAAGAAGCTGAGAGAAGGGCAAGAGGGGCAGTAGCAGAGGGCTATTTCTAGTCTGCAGCTCTTTTATCAGGTACGACCTTTGAAGATAAACAACACTAAGTGAATTTTTAAAAAAAACTTTTGATGGTATATAATCATAAAATAATGCACATAATACATTAACAAAATTATCAATAATAGAATTAAGAGAATTAATTTTAATTTACATATTTTTCCTGAGTTGCTGAAGATGGACTCTAAGAACTCATATATGCCAGGAAAGTGTTCTATCACTGATTTATACCCACTGCCCCTAAGTTACTAAACAAATTACCACATAATTATTATGCAAAGCATAACATGGGATAATACTTCTACCACTTAAACTTCCCTCACTTATGGTAAAAAACTTAAATCCACTCTGCAGTTTTAACTCAAATTTTGTATATTTAAAAGCCTATTTCTGGGCCAGCCAGATAGTTTAGCAGACTAAAGCACCTGCTTAGGAGGCATAGGGACTGGGTTCCATCCAGGTGTACAGTGCCAACGCAGCCCCTAGGGTGCACTGAGGGCCACTGAACAGGGCGTGGTGGCACACACCTGTAATCCCAGCACTTGGGAGACTAAAAACAGGGGGACCACTACAAGTCCGATCTGTGTAGTGAGACCCTATACACTCTGTACTAAATGCATACAGCTGATCCTTTCTCAGTGGACTAAGCACCTACTTTTTTCTTTTTTTTTTTCTTTTTTTTTTTTTTTTGCGGTACTGGGATTGAACTCAGGACCCTGCACTTGTCAGACAGGTGCTTATTCTACTGAGCTATTTCCCCGGCCCTATGTACCTACTTTGGCAAGGGCAGGGACCAGGGTTTAATCTCAAGTCCAGCATGCACTGCAGACCCTGCCTCCAGAGCACACTGAGCCAGGGAATGAGTCTGGGCATTGTGGCCCACATCTGTAATCCCAGAGTTGGGGAGGCTGAAAACAGGTGGATCAATACAAGTCACATCTGCATAGTGAGACCCTGTACCAAATACATACATGAAAAAATAAAAAAGAACCTATTAAAGCTAAAGTCAAGTAACATGCATGCACTCCTCAATTCTATGATTTGTGAAGACAGAAACAATCTGGAAGAATAGTGTTTATTATACAAGAATACACACAAAAACAATTTAGGAAGTTATTGATCTATTTTTATCTTTTAGGTTTATCAATATGTTTTTCTGAATCTATACAAACACCAATTTATATTTGAGGAGTTTAATTCCTAATAGACATAATGAAGAAAAAACAAGCAATAACAAGAAACCAAGACATGACACCAAGTCCAACACATTCTAAAAGCTTTATACTATGAATATAGGCTAAGATGCAGGAGCTTCAACCAGAAAATCTTAAGATATGTTAGGACTAACAATATGGTTACAAGTTTATAGGAAAACAGTACTTACTGTTTCTGTTGTTGTTGTTGGTTTTGTTTTTTTTTTAACTTGATGAAAAGTTTGTGTCTTTTTGAGAAAGGGTCTCACCATAAAGTGAGAATGGCCTTGAGCTCACTTTGTAGCCCAGGCTGGTTTGAAATTCTCAAAGAAAGAGTCTCACCATACAGTGAGACTGGCCTTGAGCTCACTTTGTAGCCCAGGCTGGTTTCAAATTCTCAAAGATCCTCCTGCCTCACCCTGAGAGCTGGGATTACAGGCATGCACCACTTAAAATGTTTTAAATGAAATAAGCCTGATTTAGTCATTCAAAATAGCTCTTGTGAATTCTACCATAAAATACTGAAAAAAAACCCTATTTCTTCTAATTGTGATATACAAGTCAGTAGTTTTATTTGTTTGTCTGTCTTTTTAATAAAATAGCTGGTTCTGCCTTCCTAAGTGAGTTTACAGAGTTATTATTCAAGTACTAACGAACCTGACCAGAAGCACTGGGGTCTTCAGAAACAGAGGAAGCCATTTCAAAGGGCGCAGGCCATGAAACCCTTTCTGAATCATGTGTCTCATCCGAACTGGGTGACTCCTGCTGTTCTGCAGCAGAGGGGACAGGCTGGGCAGCTCCATCACCATTGATACTGGGGAAGTAAGAAATTTTTTTAAAAATCACACTATTACTAAAGTTAACATCACATTACAGTGTACCTATTGGTAAAAACTAAGACACTGTAATCAAGCATTAAATTTGTAAAACAGGAATAAAACAAGAAAAACTTGTTTGTAGTTGTCTCTTACTTTTCACTCACTGCTGGGAGAAAATAACCAACATTCAAAATAAAGGAAAGATTTATTTAGCCTATGGTTTGTAGGGGTTTCAGTATGTGCTCAGATCTCTCCCACCAGAGTGGCCCATGACAGAGGGCAGCAGTTCATGACAGAGACAGTGAAGAGCAAAGGGAAGAGCAGCAGCTACAGCTTCTAGTCAGCCTCTCTCCCTTCCTTATGTTATAAACAAGCTAACCTGGGGCTGGGGATATAGAATTCACACAATGTCCATGCCCTCTTCTCACAGGGGATAAGGATGTTTACAAACTAAGACTCCTGGTTCTCTGCTGAGTCACTTACATTTCTAAACTTCTCAAACTGACACAATATACCAACCAGTACAGCACTGAAGTGACAACTGGTGGTTAACTTGAATCAGCATGGTGCTGGGTACAGAGGGTTAACGCTTGTTGCCAACAGCATAAAAGGAGAAAGAACTGGGGAGGAAGACAGGGGTTACTGAATCTCTTGAAGAAGCTTGTCATGCTAGCTTTCCTGGTACTAACTTGGCTAGTCTCACTGGAGAAGGTCAGGACCTTACTATTGCTAAGGATGCCTAGAGTGCTTGTGGGAGAGCTCTGCTACTTTGAGCATCACTTCCTGGCTCCAGAGCAGATGCCTGGGCCTGCTGCCACAGAGCCTTCATTGCACAGGTGCAGACTTTCTAGCTTCTATCGCTCACCTTTGGGCCTTCCTAGGGCAGAGCCTTGAAACAGACTTATATGAGATAGTGTCCTGGGCTCTATCTAAGCCTCCAGTCGGACTCAGAGGACACTGTCATGGGCTCTAGGTCTTCAGCTGGACTCATGCAGGATATGGCTATTGGACCCAGGCCCTCAGCTGGATTCTTTGGGTCTTTAGTGTGTGGACAGATTTCCCATGCTCATTTGCATTTCAGTATTTGGATGAATATTGTAAAATAATCCTATAAATTATATGCTCCATAATAAATTGTTTCCCTTGCAAACCCAACCACAACAGTGTTAATATCACTGGCAAAACTTAATTTTACCAATATATTTTTCTTCCTAAGAGAAGCATAAACAAGTAGCCAAGTACCTGTAATATAAAAACTTGGAAAGAATAGCCTTCTGATACCAGTGCTCCTTGCTCTTCTTCTTCCTTTGCCACTTCTGATCTATCAATCTCTGGTAAAACTCTTTCAACCATGTCCAATCACCTGTCTGAATAATGTGAAAAATTATTAAACAAATGTAATAAACAAATGAAATGATGTATCACCTCAGCTATGGCTCAGATTCTCAACAGCCCCCAAGGCTCCCGTCAGGTTTGCCCCTACCCAGCGGCACTATGAGGTAGTGGTGGAATTTGAAGGAGGGAGAGCCTAGTGGAAGGAAGTTAGATCACCAGGGATACCGAAGGAGATTCTGGAATCCCATCCCTTGGGCTTTCTCTTTGCCATCTGATCGCCACGAGTAGTTTTCTCTGCAGCAGGCAACCTGCCATAACTTTCTTTGTCCCAAACCCTCACAACACAGCCAGCTGGCCACAGACTGAGACCCCTGCCACTGGGAGCCTAAATAAACCCTTCTTTTAAAATTTACAATCTGATAAAAAATAAATAAATAATAAAATTTACAATCTTAGGTATTTTGTCACAGTGATAGAAAGATAATAAACACTACCTTTATAGAAGATAATTTTATTATTTTACAAGCACATACCCATGAAACACATTATTTTAGATCCAAAACATATCTTCTCTTTTTTTCTTTTTTTTCCCCCAAATATTGGGGACTGAGCTTAGCACCTCTGCCTTGAAGTGTATCCCCAACCTTTTTGAGAATGGATCTTTGTAAATCCCTTGGTTGCCCAAAGTGGGCTTCATCTTATAATCCCTCTGTCTTAGCCTCCCAGAGTACTGGGAACACAGTCAACACATACTCTTTTATGAAGTCCACACTTCTGACCTCTTATAAACTCAATGGAAGAAGGACCCCTTTTCTAATATTTTATTAGTCACCTAACATTTTTATTGAGGTTATCAGTGTAATTATTAATAAGAGCCAAGTGTTAGCTACTAGAGAACAAGGACTGCGATCTATTCATTGTCATGTTTGAAAAACTTAGAACAGTATCAGCGCACATACACAGATCTAACTGAACTGTGCTGTTTTAGAAGAGAGAAACATTTATTTTAATGTTCAATTTAAATCACTATAACTTGGCTGGTGAGAGAGCTCTGTAGAGTAAGCACCTGCTTAGGCAAGCACCGTGACCAGGATTCAATCCCCAGCACCACTCCAGGCTGGTCCTATGCCTGGACGCACTGAGCCCACCACTAAGACCCTGCATGGTGGTGCATGCCTGTAATTCCAGTACTGGGGAGGCTTGAACCAAGAGGATCACTACAAAGCCTGAGTTGTGCAGTGAGACCACGTAAGAACCAAATACATTAAAAAAAAAAAAAAAAAAAGATCACGGCAACTTCTTTTCTTTTATGAAAGCATGGTGGGGGGGAAGCACCATGGACATGTTCTTTAAAGATAGCAAATGGGCTGGCAGAAGCATCACCTATGTACCAGCCCATGAAAGGTGAGTATAGCTATGGAGAACCTTAAGAAAATGCAACACTGCCACTTCACTTTACAAAACATCCACCCTCAAACAGGAGGAAAAATAGGTGTCCAATAATATACAATATGAAAAGCAAGGCTTCAAGAAAACAAACAGCTCATTAATATTTGTCATATTTCCTGGTAGCCATGTCTCAAAAGAATGTGTAACAGAGATATCAAAGGATTGTTCCTTTTAATTTAAAATAGTCATTGGTGTGCTATGCCTGCCTCACCCCGGTGGGTATGCTGAGGGCCACTGAAACTAGGTATAGTGGTACACATTGGTAATTCCAGTACTTGGGAGGGTGAAAACAGGAGGATCACTATGAGTCCAATTTATGTAGTGAGACCTTGTCGACCCTGTACTAATACATAAAATAATAAAATAAATTAGTCCTTAAGTTTCAGTTTTTTTTTTCAGTTTTCCACTGACTTTATCCTTTTTACTTGTGAGAAAGAACCCCGTTATTATCAATGAAATATTTTTCTTCCCCATTCTTATTTTAACAGTAACACCTTTTCTCTTCAGTGAAACTTCATTTCTTGAAAGCTGAATAATTGAAGCACTGCATTTCAGGGGGTTTGGGCGAAGAAAGGATTAAAAAAAAAAAAAAAAAGCACTGCATTTCCACTTTGGCCTTTTGTGAAACCTAAGCACATTTCTAGCACTCTTAATTAAGTTGTCAGGACAATGAGTTTCCAGATGTTTTTCACAAAACATATTACCTGAGAGGATCTCATGAAGAGTTCTTGAATATCTAGCTCATCTAGTAAGAGTGTCCTTCCTACACGATGTACTGCCATGCTTACATGGGACTTGCTGTAGGGAATCTTCAGGAGCTTTTTTATGTTCTTAAAAAGAGCAAAAATAGTTTAGAAAGACTCACTCATGCAAATATTAACTTTATTCATTGTAAAGAACAATAAACTCAATTTTCATAAGGTCAAACTATATTTTACATAGAGCTACCTCCACCACCTGAATAAAAAGGCTTTCCTTTTTGTACCAGGAATCAAACTCAGGACCCTGTGCTTGCCAGTCAGGAACTGTGCCACTGAGCTACATTCCTGGCCCAGAGAGAATTTTAAAGCCAGAATCACCTACACTTTGAGTCACACTAACATATTTTAATGTAAATTATAGGCAAACATTTATTTTTACCCCTGAGAGGATCTTCTCAAAGGCATTTCTTACCCTGGGGTTAAACTCAGTGTCTCATGCATTGGAGGCACACAAGCAACTACTAAGCTACGTCCCAAACCCACAAGAGAATTTCTCCAAGTTGTGAGCAGAAGTCTTGCTGTTGCACTGATGGAGGCTTTAAGCACCTCATTAGAAAAGCTACCAGCTAAGTAACAACAGACTCCATCAGAAGTATTATTTATAATTCTCAATTGGTAACATAATCAGAATAATCCCAAACATTATCATCAGTTCCCACAACTATTATTAAACTAACAACTTTAATAGTATTATTACAACCACTGTTTGGGAGTGTTGAGAAAGATGTGAGGAAAAAGCAGAATTTTAGAAACAGAAAGGTATCTGATAATCAGCTATATCTTACTATATCTTATTGTCACTAATTTCTCAAGACTGCAAATCAGAAAGAATACACTTTACTCCAAAAGATACATTAAACAACAAGCAACACTTACTTCAGAATCAGAGACAACATCCACATCATTTCCCACAGAATCGATGAAGTCATATGCCATGCCAAAGCTACCAAAGGAAACACAGCCACAGGTTGAACAGAACACAGAATTTCCTTGCTTCTAGGAGATACATTTTCTGCATTCTAACATTTCTGAAATCAAGATGTGCTTCACCATTCTATGTAGCTAGTGCTTCCTTCTCAGTGTACATAAAATGATGGGTTTTAAAATTGATAGCAGCTTAAATTTGATGAAACAGTAATAATGAGAAGCAATTAGTAGAAAACACTTAAAACTACTTTGCAGATTTTTTTTAAATTTTTTTTTATTTGTGTGTGTGTGTGTGTGTGTGGCCAGCTCAGCCCACCAGGGGGTGGGGCTGGCTGGCATGTGGTGCTGGGGTATTGAACCGCAGTCCCTGTGCTTTGCTTAGCTTGTTCTAGGTAGGTGCTTTAGACCACTGAGCCATCTCACCAGCCCCTGCAGATTTTTTTTAAGCATGAAACCAAAAATGTCTCAAGTCTTCATAACTTTATTCTATGTAAGGTAAGATAAAGAGAGACACTTACTATAATTTTAGTTTCCGGAACTATGTTCCTAATGATATACATAAAATCTCTCTTTTTAAAAGTATGTCTGAAAAATGCAGCTGTCAATAAATCACCTAAAAAGTTAAGTGAGCACCTAACTTATGCCAGGTACTGTATGAGGCACACTTAACAGTCCACACACTTGAAAAGCAGCTGATGGTAGTCAGTGGCAGTCAGGCTACTTCTCTAGAACACCTAATTTCAAAGCATCCTCTTGTGATTTACCATGCGCTGCTAGATGTCATTTAACCTTTCTTAGCTTCAGCTTTGTCTTGTACAAAACAGTTGACAGTGCCTGTCTCAAAAAGTTATTAAGCACTGAATGAGATAAACATGAACTATCTGGCAGTGTTTGTATATAGTTAATACAATTAGCATTTATATCACCTCATAAAACTTAATATAACTTATAAAGCCATTCTTCTAATAGAAAATGTTTGGGTTATTTCCAACTTTAGGCTAGTATAAATAAAGCTAAAAATAATAATTTGATATAACTTTACATTCTAGGCATTAGAATAATTTTCAAACTACCAGCTCATAAAGTATTAATGTATTATGACTCTTGCTCTAACTTACACATAAATTTCACCATGTCACTAAGAAGAAATATAAAGAATCCCACATATTAAATGGCCCATAAGAATATAGTTATTAGGGGCCAGGGAGATAGCTCAGGGTTGTAAACACCTGCCTTGCAAGCCCAAGGACCTAGATTCGATCCCGGGCACCACATGCCTTACCAACTCTGCCAGCCCTGCCATGCAAACCGGGCATGGTGGCACACACCTATAATTGTGCTGGGGAGGCTAAAACAGGAGGATCGCTACAACTCCAAGCTGCATATTAAGACCCTGTACCAAATAAATAAATAAATACTGTAAAAAAAAAACTTAAAAAGAAAAAGAATATGGATATTAATACATTTTTCTCTAGAAGATGGCAGGCTACTGTCTCAACTTTAAATACCACAAGCAGAATTTCCATTTTTCTAAGTCAACAATATAGGTCACCCAACATGCTGTCTTTTTCATTAGGCCTTTTTAGGCTAGAGAGTGCACTATCATTTAATGAAAACCTCCACAGGTCAGATACTCATCCTGATTCTTTGTTTTCACAAATTCAAATCCATGCAAACTGGGCCAAAGCAGATAGGTCAGCGGCATAAGTGCCTGCCTGGCAAGCACAAGGTCCTCGGTTCAATTTCTGTTGCCACAAAAAAAAAAAAAAATCTATGCAAACTGGCTAAAATAAATGATTAGTAGTTTGTTAATATGATGTAGACTTCAAAGAAGTACATGCAATGTAAAACTCTCTGTTGTAACATATGCTATTTTGGGGAGTAAAAGTAACTTTCAAAATCAAATCTCATCTTCTAAACATCTAGCAAGTTAGGTCCACTGAGATGGCTTGGCAGTCTAAGCACCTGTCTAGGCAAGCACAAGGACCCAGATTTGATCCCCAGTACTGGAAGCCTCGCTGACCCCACCTGGGTGCCCCAAGGCTATACGTCTTCAATCCCACCACTGGGAAGGCTGAGACAAGAGGAGTGAGACCCCATACCAAATATATTTTTAAAAATTGAAATAAAAAATAAAATTTTAGTGAGCGTACATCACAAACTAAATAACTAGTGCTAAGTTTTAAGTATGATGGATAGACTGGTCAATATGACACTGATATTTACCTTGAAAATGGCTTGCTTTTCTTACTATTCCCAAGAATGGTAGTTCCTGCTGGCCCTAGTTTGGCACTTTCTCGTAACCAGTTGGCAGGTGGGAGTTTCAAATCTGTTTTCTCTTCAAGTTGTGCAAATGCTGTTCGGGGAGGGGCAGAAGAGTATTTCACCACAGCTCGGCTCTTCACTTCATTGCCTCCAAGAAATAAAGCTGATCCCTAAGCAACACATTGAATGAAACTTTAATGAACACTACTAGGAATGAAAACATCTTTATAAAAAGAAACGATCCGCATCAGGGTTCACATGTTACTCTTAACACTTAGTTCAAACACAAATTATTGAATTTAGCACCTTTTCAAATGATTTTAAACATGCAGGAGTCAAGGTGCATGATGCTTGTGTGTTTCAAAGGAAATGGGCCAACCAATCTGCCTTTAAATTTTATTTATATTCAGTGTAGAAGCAGAAACCAAAAAGACTCGCCAGTGTGAAGTTAATTAAATGTAAAATTTAATAAATCTGGCTACAGTACTAAACAAACGTTTTAATTACAGGAACATAAATACTTCAAAGTAGTTTCGGGTAAGATATCTGAGTCTCTCTTGTTTTTACGCAAAGGTTCAGCAATCGCTTCGCCAGGGAGTCTCACATACTCCGAACCTCTCAACGTGACAGCAAGGCCCTGGGGACTCGCCAGCCTTCACCGCACACCTGCACACAGGCTCCGTATCAACTGTTCTAACCTCCTTTCTCGCAGTCCCTTTGGGCCTGGCAAACACCTCGCACCTTGAGGAATTAGCCGGGCCCCAACCCCGTGGGCTCCCCTCGGCACTCCTTCCGCGCCGCCGGCTTTACACAACTGTGCCACATTTTGGAGCTACGTGTTACATGTATGCGCACACACCTAGATGCTCCATGTATGCGCCCACGTATTACACGTCAAGCAGATACCGAGTCTAATTCACCGCAGGTCACCCCGAGTGGGAAGCCAGGCTTGCTCTGGACACGAGGACGTGCGAGCAAACGCCAGCGCACCTCAGGACAGACACACGGGCTTCCCCGTTTCGGAGGTGTCGGGGGGGGGGGGGGGGGGAGAAGGTGCCAGAGGCTCCGGGAACCGTGACACCCTCCCGCGCGGTGCGTGCCCGCCGAGCCCAGAGCTCGAGCCCGCGGAGCCCGGAGCCCGGGCACGTTCGACACTGAGGTGGGCTCACCTGCGCAGAAGGTTCCTCCAGCTCGCCCTGAGACAGGAGGCTGAGCCCTCCTCGAGCAGCAGTCGCCGCCGGCGCGGCCTCGGCTCCGGCCTCCTTGGAGTCCCCCATTACTACGGCCCAGGGAAGCGAAGCGCGAGCCGAGAAGCCGCGATACGGCCCCGAGCTCGGAGGTGCTTCAAGCGCCTAAGCCGCTCCGCCGACTACACTTCCGGCCCGTGAGAGGACGTCCCTCTGACGCGCTCAAGTCTCGCGAGTTTTGTTGGCAGGCCAGGCCCCGCCTCTGCTGCGGGCGCTCCCATCGCTAGGGGGCGGGCGCTCAGTGCGCCTGCGCTTGTCAGTGCCACTGTGGGAGACAGTTTCTCGCGATAACTGTGCCTCAGGCTGCTCTCGTTGAAGGCAGCTCGCCTTTGTTGGCCGACAGTTGCGGTGATTTGGGCTTGAGAGAAAGTCAAGGTCTGGAGTTGCTCTCCGCGCGGGAGAGGGAATGCTTGTAGCGTCATCAGTCGTCCCGGTTCTATTAGTGACGTCAGCACTCCTTCCCTGGCCTTCAGCATCCTCTAGACGCAGCCCAGAAAGGGCGGGTGTCGCGCAGGTGCGGGCCGGCCAGTCGGGCGGGGTCCTGCCTCGGCCAAGTCCCCCCCACGCACGACAGTTCTCGAGTGCAGGAGTTGGCTGCGCGAGGCGGGTCCCCGCGGTTACGGGTTGGGAGAAGCCGGGGCGGGGGCACCTCCGCGAGGGGTTTGCTGCTCCGGTCCCCGGGGCGGGCCGATGCCCGAGCGCAGCGACCTTGGCCGAGGCGACCGGGCGGTGCGAGGGCGTCTGGCTTCTCCGCGAGCCGGGTCGCACCCAGCGATCTTGTCAGCGCGCGCCCCGATCCCGTCGTTCTGGGGAGGTGGCCCTGAGAGTGTTTCTCACGGGCTCCCGGGAGCTGCTGTCTGAGCTTTAAATAGCGAGGGACAGAGTCTTGAAATAAATGGCCGAGAGCCAGGACTCCGAGCCTCCCCATCTCTATCCTATGATTTCTGAGTAAACCTAGAAGCAGCCGAAACAGCTGAACGGAGCCAGCCATATCCCTCCTGAGATTGACTATGTATGGCAAAGATCTGTTTCGTTTCAGAAATTAAAATTTTTGAAAATTAATTTTGCCCTGGCAGCTACTTGGCTGTCTCAGCTTGTAATTTGTATTTGTCCCTGATAACTCGTCAACTATTGAGGACCTGACCAAGATCCCCAAATACCTGTGTGAGGGCTTCGAAGAAAGAATGAAATAGAGGGGCTGGGGAGATGGCTCAGTAGAATAAGCACTTCCCTGGCAAGCGCAAGGACCTGAGTTCAATCCCCGGCTCAACAAAAAAAAAAACAATACACGAAAGTAGGCTGGGAGTACTAAGACCCTCCCAGCAAGCCCTCTTTATTGGGTGCGTAGAATGATAGATGGGTTAGTGAAGGTCCGGGTAAAATTAAGAGTTCAATGACTCAGTGGGCAAACACATAACTTGGGCTGACTCAGGACAGTTGAGATGATCTTAAACCAGTAGGATCTTGCCCTGGAATGCTTTTTAATCTTACTGGATGGGAGAGGATGGTGCATCCCTAAAGACTTAGTGAGAAGTCTCAAAAGGGTGTTACCAAGAATCCCACTTATCGGGGCTGGTGAGATGGCTCAGTGGTCTAAAGCACCTACTTAGAACAAGCTAAGCAAAGCACAGGGACCCCGGTTCAATCCCCAGCACCACATGCCAGCCAGCCCCACCCCCTGGTGGGCTGAGCTGGCCACACACACACACACACACAAAGTAAATAAATAAAATTTAAAAAAAAAAAAAAAGAATCCCATTTATCCCTTAGGAATTGAGGAAAGTTAGCCATTGTGAATTTGTGGTCCCCAACAGCCAACGATGGACATGTTTCTAAATCTTTATGATTATCAGGAAGCCATGGTAGTACACACCTGTAATCCCAGCAGCCAAGAGCTGAGGGATGAGGATTGCCATGAATTTGAGACCAGCCTGGGCTACAAAGTGAGCTCAAGGCCATCATGAACTACATAATGAGACCATGTCTCAAAAAGACAAAAAAAAAAAAAAAAAAAATTGTGAATGAAATATAACAATGAATTTGATTATAGTGTATTCTGTAAATATTTGTTTTCACATTGATTTTGGTTTTTATAATATTTGTATTGTGCGTCTCATTCTTTTTGGGTTTTTTTCAAGTGAATTCTATTGGTTTAGAACAAAGTTGAACACAACTGTAAAACATAATACAGTGTTGTAGGCAGTTAAATTAGATAGAAATATTATAGCCAATCAGACCAGGCCAGACCCTCAAAGAAACTATGGAAGACAAGGTGACTCTGCAACTTGGGAAGAGAGGACAGTCCTGCTATGGGCCAGATCTCATGACAAAAGAATAAACAAATGCAGCCACATACTTTCCTAGAAATGGGCATCAGGAATTGATATTCTAAAAAGGTGTCAATCATGTTGAAAGAGTCACTCACCCAACCCCCAAAAGGAAGAGACCCTGTCCTATATTCATGCCCACTTGCTATGTGACTCCCTTTCCCATTTGGTCCAGGACTTACTCAATTTTACCTGAGCAATGGTGCCTGTAATCTCACTGGTTGGCCATAGTTTTGTCCCACCTCATTTCTACTACAAGGAGTTCCCAAGTTATCCACTTTAGACCCCTCCACTCACCACATGGCTTTAATCTATAAAAATCCCTGGAAAAGACAGCTTCCCAGGGCAATGTGCTCTGGTCCACCTTGTGTCCCTGTGTGGGACAGATGCTTTCTTTCCCCCAATAAATGTTCTGCTCTTAATCTCCATTTGTTCCTAAAATTCATTTTTCAATTTTAGAGAACGCAAACTTGTCCCAGGTACCTTTCAGTTCTGATGTTTTATTTCCCTATATCAACAGGAAGATGGTTAAAACTTGGTTTTGTTTCATAATAAACAATGTAACCATTAACTCATTTTACAATATTCAAGAGTATTTACATTTTCATTGTATTATAATAATAAATGAATTTTTAGAAGGTAATATAATGCAGTCCCAATCTTAACATGGTTTTTTGTTAACAAAAAGGGATGTCTTCATAGTAAGATGAAGTGATTAAACATTTGCTTTTTAGCTTTCCTAGTTTTTTTCTGATTGTTTTAGAATTAAGTATAATTTTATGAAGCTTTTGCATGTACATAATTTAGCTTCTGACAATCTTTGAATTTTTTTTCATTTATAATGTGTCTTTGTAGGAAGGGATTTCTTTGAGGATGTTCAGAACCTTGTGGATGCTGTCAGTGAGCACGTGTTGGGAACAACGGGGAAAAAGCTAAGGAAGAGTGAAACAGAACCAGAGGGAGAGGGCAGCAGCAGCTAGAGGACCTGACCCTGAGGCAGCAGCCGAGGACCAGGCCTCCAGGAAGGAACTGTGAAAGAGCCTGGTGGGGCTGGTCTCCAGCAGTCCCCCAGAGAGCCTAGCCTAATTCTGTTGGTAACGGAAGGTGATCCCTGATTGTTTGAGACACTGGGCACATCTGAGTTACATAAAGCTGATACATAATCCAACTTTATAAATGGCTTGTTAATTCTTTTTTTCTATCCAAGTGCTTTTATAAGCTGTGTTTTAAACTTATTTATTTATTTATTTATTTATTTATTTATTTATTTGGTATAGGATCTCACTACTCAGCTCAGACTCGTAGTGATCCTCCTGTCTCGGCCTCCCCAGCACTGGGATTCCAGGTACCATGCCTGGTTTCAGTGGCCGGCTTGGTCATACTGTACCAGGGACCATACCCAGGTTCTTGTGCTTACCAGGCAGAAGCTTAGACTGCTGACCTATCTCTGTAGCCTCCCATTCTGTGTTTTGTTTTGTTTAATCTTTTATTTATTTGTTTGTTTGTGATGGGTTCTCAGTGCAGCAGAGAAACAGTTGGAAGGAAAAAGGGAAAGGGCTTTATTTTCTTTGAGGACACGGAGAGAATTTAGGGAGGGCAAGGAATTCTCTGAACTGGACAAAGGATGGCTGAGGCTTTTATGACCTTTTATCAGAGGTAGAGTTTGAGGGGATGTTTAGATATACCTGAGGGAGCTGATTGGGGGTCTTCCCTGAGGTGGTGGGAAGGGTGAAAGTAAATTATGTCTTGGGCTAAGTTGGAGAAGAAGGGGAAGGTTGTCCTGGCAGCATAGGCCTTTGTTTTAAAGGCATTGGCCATCTTAGATGACTACCACAGAGATTTTAGCGATTCATACTAGGGCCCAAACCTATCTGTTTGTTGGTTTGTTTGGCACAGGGTCTTACTATACAGGTCAGACTTGTAGTGATCCTCCTGTCTCAGCCTCCTCAGTGGTGGGATAATAAGCATGTGCCACCATGCCCGATTTCGGTGGCTGGCTTGGCACCAGGCTGGCAAGATAGGCAGTACTGGCGATCAAACCAGGGTCCTGACACTTGCCAAGGAGGTGCTTAGACCACCAAGCTATCTCCCTGGCCCACCCATTCTGTGTTTTTAAAACAGTTGTTTTTAATGTAAATCACTGAAGGGCAACACTTGCTTAGGCGAACGCAGTGGCCAGGGTTGGATCCCTGGCGCCACATGCAGTGCCAGCCCTGCCCCCTGGGTGCGCTGAGCTGGCGATGGAATCCAGGCGTGGTAGTGCATGCCTGTAATCACAGCACTAGGGAGGCTGAAAACAGGAGGATCACTAGGAGTCCAAGCTATGTAGTGAGACCCTGCGCACGTGCGCGCACACACACACACACACATACACAAAAAAAAAATAATACTACTAATAATATAAATGACAAATGATGACAAATGTAGGGAAACATAGTCATGCCTCCCACAGTTTCAAATTAGAAGACATGAATATCTGTTTTGTTGTTTGTTTGTTTGTGTCCAGCTGGCCTCATTCTCAAGAGGTAGCCTACACTGGCCTTCAACTCAGTAATCTTCCTGCCTCGGCCTCCAGAATGCTGGGATTACAAGTGTGCATGACCAAGCCCAGCTCTGTTCCTTTTTATATTGTTCCACTGGGTCTGCCTGACCCTGGCCTCAATTTTCAGCCCCCTCTGGGGATAGACATCATCACTCCCAGCCTGCCTGCTCTGGATTGAAAGTTTGAGGAAATGAGCCTGGATGTGATCCTAGCTCTTCTGCTCATTCATAATTCTCACATGTTTGTGTGCCTCCCTGGGCACTGGTGCCTTCATTGCTTAGCACAAGTTTGTTGAATGAGTG